ATTTAATCCCTCTTTTTCATCACCCTAACTTCTCATCTTCTTTTCCACATGAGTGTGCATTGCCCTAAGACAAGGGTGGGTCCCTGACCCACTTGTCTTGCAAATTAACCATGATAGTGTTGTGCAGAAAACATGATAGTGTTGTGCAGAAAACAAGAAGATTGCAGGTCAAGGGTGGTGATTCCGAACCAACTGAAGCAGCTTGGGGGCTTTTCATCGTGATCTAAGAAGGCGCCCGCGCGAGTCAGCACGAGTAAGTCACGAACCCAGGTGAGGTTGGTCCTCACCTCATGAATCAAATTCCTCTCTCACCAGTTGGGCACTTGCCCTTGTTCTGTGAACAAGTTTCCTGAGAGAGTGGTCTCAGGTCTCGGGTTCTAGATCTTTCGATCCTGAGACACGTGTGACCCGATCACCTAGATCCGGGGAGGCGAGATCGGGGCACCTAACCAAGAATATCAATATTTGTAGTATTTGGACTGGATAGGAAAGGAAATTGGTCCTCATAGAAGGAGACATCCCTGTTGACAAAGAATTTTTGTACGTCAAGGTCAATGACTTTGTATCCTTGCTGTCCATATGGATAACCAGTACACACACATTTGCGTGCATGAGGGGGAAACTTGTCATGTGATTTGGTGTGGGCACAACACAGACATCCAAACACGTGTAGGCGTTAGCAGGTTGGTTTGACATTGAACAAGGTTTCATGAGGTATTTTTTTTTGTAGAACAAAGAATTCACCTTCCTTTCCCTCCTGGAGTCATTGTAACATAATGGTTCTCTCATGGATTTGGAACACGATTTGCAAAGAACTCTCGAACAACATCATTTACTTCAACACAGCGAGTGAAGCATGGGAGGATCTACAGGAGTGCTTTTCACAAGGTAATGCAGCCCAAATCTATCGCATTACTCGTATCCACTTTTTGTCAACATGATTGTGATACAATATTGTTCCTATGGACCACCTCTTTTCCTTGTCTTCCAATATGGTTCCTATGGACCACCTCTGAACCACCTCTTTTTTCAGGTATAGTTAACAAAAGGCTGGTAAGAAGTCCGTTGAGAAGAAACTAGTAGAGAAAACCCAAACTGAGAAGAAGCCAAGGATCAAGAAAACCCCAAAGAAGGTGACGCAGAGAAGAAAACGAAGAGGTTTAAGAAAGTTACAACGACCTACAAGGTGGCGCAAGGGAGAGGAAGAAGGTGGCACCATTGAATTGCTGCTGCTACTGCTGTTGCGCAATCACCATTTAGATTTCCACTATCTATGCTTAAAAACTCATGAAAATGAGGCCTTCACGAAATCCAGCACACCAGCCATGGTTCATATGAAGAGGGACCGACCCTTTCTCTCTTTAGAAATACGGATTGAGTTTTAAGTTTGTCGTGACGACGCGTGCTGCACAACCAACAATGTAGAGATAGAAAGAGAGACTCTGGGGGGCAGATGGAACCCTCACCTCAGCGATGTAATTGCAAGATGCATTAGTGGTTAAAAAAAAACTGGCTGACACTGTGAGGGCTTTGCATCATATCTTGGGTGGCATTTTGAATCCGAATGCTGCATATATGATCATTCACGGCATGAAGACACTGCATCTTCATGTACAACAACATAATTCAACAGCAATGAGGATGGCCCGACTTTTAGAGGTGCATCCCAAGATTTCTCGTGTCTATTACCCATGCTTGCAAGTCATCCAGCGCATCACATAACTAATAGACAAATGACGGGCTTTGGGGTGTTGTCAGTTTTGAGGTGGACGGAGACTTCAGTGTCCCATTCTTTTGTGTTGGAATGCCAAATAAAACAAGTTTTCTATGGAACACGAGCTATGTATAGAGAGAGATTTTTATATCATTTCTATTAAGGTGGAGTGTGAGGAAATAGGTGGATATGATAAAGACGGAAACTTGAAAATACGGAAGAGGTGATTCAATGCCTATGTTATATACTATGGTGATAAGGAAGATGCTACGTAGAGATGATAAATATGGAAGATTGTATGCAAGCAAGAAGCTAGAAAAATATGGAAGACTGAAAATACTCAAGATGATAGAAGACTGAAAATAGAGACAGACTATTGTTGGGAGAGAAATGGCCTCAAGGTGGAGGGTTAAGAGGATTGATACGCTCTGATACCATACTGAATTTAAAAGAGAAAAACTTTTTATTGAGCAACGATTTCATTCCACACAGGTTGTTAACATAGAGATACAACATGTATAATCCCTTGATGTGGGGATATATCCCTTGATTGCAGAGATGATGGTCAACAATCCAGCCCTTGATAGTAGGGATGTAAGTTACAAAGATATTTGATGGTCAACAATAAATCCCTTGGTAGTAGGGATGTAGTTGCCAAGTGTGAGAATCGTAATAATTATAGACCAATCCCCAACAATTTCTTTGGATCGTGTTGGTTTTGCAAAGGACATTATTGGAAAAATATGGGAAGAGGCTAGCTTACAAGCTTACACATGAACTTGCAAACTAACAAATCTTGTTCACCATAGGAGCCACAACACATAAAGTAGGTTTAGATGAATTAGAATATGCAACACGATCATCTCCATTTCCCTATCACCTCTAATTATTTTCTATTGTTATAATGTGTATGCATTATCTGGTAAGCCAGAGGCAAAGCAATTCGCTAGCAAAGACACATGGCATTGTGAGATGTCATGGGTTAAATTAAAAGAGGAGGAATCATATTCACCTGGATATTGTCGCACCACCTTATTCTTTTAAGGGAAAATTTTGTACAGAAACCTAATTCCCCTTCTTACAAGATGAACCCAGTGAACAGATCTAAAATCTACAAAAGATTTCAATAATCAAAGAAAGAGAGATGCATGAGAGAGTAAAGAGAGATAGATGCGTGAGAAAGAAGAGAGAAAGAGAGAAACTTACAGCGAGAGGGTGAGAGGTGAGCATACTTTGTCACTGTGGTGAATGGAGAGAGAGAGCCCTTGCCATAGTCAAGAGAGAGATTACCACAATCAGAATGGAAACAAGGGAAAGGAAACGAGAGAGATGGGGTTGAAAAAGTACAAAATAGGGTTAAAAAGGCTTTTGGATTGAGATGGAATAAAATAATTTGTTGGGCTAGTGTTGTAGTCAAAAGTGAATAAACGTGAGAGAGAAGAGATGAGGGGGTACGGTGAAATACTCGAGGTTTTTTTATGCCACTTGAAAGAAAAATGGAAGGAGGGTCTACCGTGAAATAAGATGGGGAATTAAGGGTCCGTACAAAAGTTTTCCTAAAAAAAAAAATAATAATAAAAAATAAATAATGGGATGCGGTTTGCATCAAAAAGCCATTGGAACATAGAGGCATCCTTAGGAACTTGTGAAAGTGTTTCTAAGATGCCATTTGCTAATGGAATTGATTTCACAAATGTAGAGAGAGAAAGTAGCTCGAAAATGAGGGAGAAATTTAGTGGAGAGAGAGAGATTTTGGGCAGCCATCAAGCCCTTTTTTTAGAGAAAGCGGGTTATGGCACAATTATAGAAAGAGCTAAGATAGAAAATGCTACCATGTGCGAGGGACTCTAAGAACTTCCTACATAAGACAATCAAACAAGTAAAAAAAATACATATAACGATAATATATAATTCATATATGCCAATGTCTTTATTCAGATTTTGAATATTTACAACTGATTTTTAATTTCTATCGTGCTGCAATACTGACCACATATCCTCCTCAGTGGTCATGAGGATTACAATACCCTCCAGTAAGTAGACTAGGGAAAAACCCTAAGTCACTCAGTTGTCCAATGTACAATGATAAGGCACACCTAGTAAATCAAAATATGATCACATAGTGGCTCAATATCACCGTAAATTAGATGGCATTGACACGATTTCTCATAGTCCCTTTAAGTGAAGGCTTTCTATGTGACCCCACCCACATGTATAGTATATGTGACCCCTAATTTCAGCTATCAGATCTAAGTAGATGGTTAGGATGGCTTAGGTCACAATGTCACAAATTGGTTTTTAACAGTCAGATCTTGATCAGACGGCTCAGAGTTTTTAATTTTAAAATTTAAATTTATAAATTGTTTTGAGGCAAAATTTGGGGAATGCATAGATTTGACAGGAGCGCACATGATAAAAATAATAATAAAATATTTTCGATTATGAACAATTATCAGAATACCCTTGAAATTTGCAAGAGTATTTTGGTTATTTACTTTTATAAGTAAATTTTATTTTCATTTTTTCCAAATTCATGCTCATTTTATGATGGGACGTCCAAAATTTCATCCAAAAATATTTTGTAAAAAATTAATGAAAATTAAAACAATGTTTGGCATTACATTAGCGTATGAACCATCGTAGCCGTTTGATTCAGATCACATGGTTAAGAAATAGGGTCACAACTTATATGTTATTAGGGCCACATAAACATTTCCCTTCCTTCATTGGCGTGTACAATATGATACATTTGGACACTATAGTTGGATTTTATCACCTCCATCAATAGTGTAGAGATGGCAATGGGTAAGTGGCATGGCCCAACAGACCCTAACAAACTAAGGCCTTGGCCACAAAATGTGGCATGAGGGCTAGGCAACCACAACATAAGCCCTGCCCATTTCAACCCATGGCATGAGGGCTAGGCAACCACAACATAAGGCTTGCCCATTTCAACCTAGTAGGGCCGGGGCGGCTTGGGCTAGCCCTACAGGGACTAAGGCCAAGCTAGACTCAGGTTGGCCTAGCCCCGGGCCGGCCCATTGCCAGCCCTATGACAATGGGTTAAATGGCGATTGTGGGGTGATGGTCTCATCGCACACATTCACAAATGATTGTACGATTCCTAATTTCTCTCGCTTATCGTGTATTGAGTGAGTTGGACGGTGATAAATCGCATGATCTTGGTTGCTAGTTGCGGCCGATCATAAGCCACACACAGCATCTTCCACTACGCCCAAAACTAAATTAAAAAAAAAAAAAAAAATCGCATCCCTTATAAGCTTGGAGTTAGGGTTGGCAGTAGCAATTGAGCCCCATCCGCTCTAGGGTTTGGAGTTTTGTCGTAGACGAGCTCTTCCATTCACTTTCTCAATACCTTCCAATATGGTAAGTCTCCATCTCTAAATTTTGATCTCCGAAGGTTTCTTATTTCTGCATTTGAGCATATATTCAGATATTTGAAGCAAACCAAGAAACAAGCATAAACACCATCTTCGTTAGTGGAGGTCTTGGGCACAGTAGATGATCACTCTATGCCCTCTTTTGTTTGGCATTTTAGAAAGAGAATAGTTTCTTTATGATATATCTGGCTGCTGCCTGTTTGAGATACTCCTAAGGTAGAAGATGTATATTAAAATTACTGAGTTTTATAATCGCTGATTCCGATTAGATTTCGAACAGAGAAGAAAAATATATTTAAACTGATATAAGAATTCTACTCGAAAAGCCATCTATTCTATCGAGAACGTGGTAAAAGTCTACTTTTTGTGAGGACAATCTCATGGCTTCAGGCGCTGCAAAGTCCAATGAGATTGTAGCTTTTAAATTCTACTGATTCGGGCAGAAAAAGAGTTATAAGTTTAACTTGCTACAAGTAGAACATAGCAGAAGAATGCACACATTAGAGATTATGTTGACCTGGGAAAAACGATGACCTAAGACCTGGTTTTCGTTGGAGAGAAACCTTTTTTCATCGTTTGCATGGTTTTCTTAAAGAAAAGGAAATGAGTTTGGACTGTGGTATAACTTTTTCATGTGCCACTATGTTGTGGGTGAATGATGAAATATACATTTGGGAGAGCATCCTATGTTAAATTCTGAAGCTATGTAATCTAAATGGGTTTTTTCAGCCTTGTGCTAGCTGTGATTTTGGGTGTTTGTGGGGTTAGAGATAAAAAACTAATGCCTTGGATGTAAAATATGCTTTAGAGCCTAGGCACCTCAATATATGAGGTGTTTCAGAGAACTACTTGGAAGCCACAGGTATATTAAAGGGGTTGAGAGATTATACCCTCTCCTTATGTTTGCAAGGGAGTCCACCCTAACATCTTTTCACAAGATCAAACTCTTTTTTTGTTCTCCAATTCACCATCTCTACAAAGAAGGAATATCTTCACTTTAAATACAAATTAAAAGGAATAATAAATAAAAATAAAATAGGAATGGAAAACTAAACTCTCGCTCCCTTATCCTTAAAAACAAGTTTAACACATCTTAACCAACCCAACCATGTTAATCCTATCCATATCCATCTTTTTTAAAAAAACTAAATTTCTAATTCTACCCCTTAAATCTCTACAACTTGAAAAAGACAAGAAAATAACCTTAAAGAAAACTAAAAATCCAAATAACATATTTCCTAAGTCCTAGAAAATATAAAAATAAAAAAAAGTTAAAAATCAATTTTTTATTTGCATCATTCTCTAGGGGTTGGGAGAAGCTTGACCTCGAGCTTGTTGAATTTAAATATTTTAAAGTCCTCAAAAGTTGGTGATGCAGTCGTCTTCAATAAACCAATTCGTCAAATACTTTGTGTGCAACTTTGAAATTACAGTTCACGAGAAACTGGTCCAACCATTTCTCACATATCATAGTTTGGTGCTCATTTTAACTCAAGCCTAAATGAAATTTATCTTGTTATTCTTTTCCTTTTCTTTTTCTTTTCCTTTTATTTATGATTGATATGTTTATCTTGCTAAGTGAAAGTATGATGATTTATAAATTGATCTACATGATTATGTACTCTGAAAATGTTGCAATTGGTTTAATGATATGTTTTTCTCTTATTTATTGCATACCCAATTATATGGACGCTTGCATTTTAAATATGAGCTTTTGCTGTTCATAGTGTTGATTTGATTATCACATGTTTGCAAGTGATAAGAGCATGTATGATATATGTCAAAACCCATTTGGATAAAAGGATTAAGGAGTGTCCATGTACTAAAGGATTTTATCACAGGGAATTAGGAAATAATCTGGGTATTGTAGACATGTGGTTACGGATAGATGTCAGTTTTTGCACCATGATAGCATGTTCTAGAACTTGAGAGTTGATTCATTTTATTGGAAAGAAAAACTTTTCTTTGATGGGAAGCTACTTGCTCTATACTATGAGATTACTTTCAAAGTTTATTTACATATCACAGAGCCAATGAAGCCTGGTGCTTTGTGTGGGAAATTAGTATCAGTGAAGTACCTTGATCATTACTGATGACAATTTGCATGCTTATGAGATGAAATCATGACATGACAACTTAGAAGATATCATTTGCAACTCTATGTGTTCATGACACAATTACATATGGATGTCATTTGTTGCATTGTGCTAGCATGGTCTAGAACTTGGGAGTTGTTTAGTATGTAATTGGAAAAAAATAATAAAAATAAAAGTTAAGCCTTTCTATTGGGAAGCTGTGTTGCTTCGAATTTTGAGATTACATTCAGACTTTCCAACGTATCATAGTCAATGAAGCTTGAGGTTTTACGAGCGAACAATTTTCTCCAACTCTCCAGCCTACAAAATAAGCTTTCACACAGCCACCAAACAAGCTCATTAAGAATAGAACACACATAAAAAGCTGTAAAGCTTCACACATAGACCTCTTTCCATCCTCACCATGCACTAAGAACCTCATCATTAGATGTTCAGTACCGGAAACCTAGCTCCACATTTGGCACATCCCTCACCTCGATCCAAACACCCCCTTCGATTGTGATAAGAAACATGACCAAAAACATGGCAAAACGAGCAAGATAGAAGATCGAAAATTTCAAGATTATGGGTTTGGTCGGATTTTGGGTTCGACATCAAAAAGTTTGATTCAAGCCTCAAAATGCATATCAAATCGATTGTCTCTGGAAGGCCGACACTTCTACGGTATTAGTTTGCTCGGAATATTGCCAGAAGCTCAAAAAATGGCCCCGAACCATAAAGAATGCAACATGCCCATTTTGAGGATGGTCTTGTCATTTTCACAAAAGTATGGAGGGGCAAAACGGTTATTTTCCCACAAAAATGAAAATCACTTTTTAATTCATTTTATTGTATTATTTAGCAATTAGGCATAGTTTTTAGCATCCACCCTTATTTGGTGATGACTCTATATAAGCTCTTTTATTCATTTTGTAACCCTAAGTTGAAAAGTGGGCAAAATCTTTTTTTTTTGATAAAGGTTGACATTGTATCTCTGATAGAGAATGTTACAACATAGCAAAAACCTAAACGGGTAGACAAATTTCACCGAGGGAGGTGACGGCTAAAAGAAACAACTAAAAGTAAACAACAATATAAGATAAAACAGAAAACCGAAGGGAAAACCACAAAAAAACCCAATCAATACAACAAAGGTCTCGTAGAAAAAATGATGCGCTAGTGTAAGGCGGGCCTTGTCACTCCATCGTTGCTCTGTGTTTAGCTAATGCGTCCGCTGTTCGGTTTGCCACCCTCTAGATATGTCTTCAAGCGACCTGTGTACGCCTGCGTAGAATGTAAATCTGATCAAAGATTTTCCATAATCTCCAAGGGGGGCAAGCCGAGTGGGATGCCCACAAAATAACATTCTTGCAGTCCCCTTCTATAATGAGTGATGGGCCCCAGGATGGATCAAAGCATCTTAGGCCTTCTAAGAGAGCAGGTGCCTCTGCCTCCGTGGATTCTGAAATCCCAATGGAGGATGCAAAGGCAAGGAGGGTGATGCTCGTGTGGTCAGGGAAGATCCCCCCTATTCTAGCCAGACCTGGTTTGCCTAGGGAGGAGCCGTCGAAAATGAGCTTGATGTGCCATAATCTCCAAGGGGGGCATGCCGAGTGGCAAAATTGAGATTGAGATCAAGCTTTTTCTTGTGTTGTACCTTCATTTTTCACTTCAAGAGAGAGGAGAGAGAATATTTTACATTGAGTTACCCCTTTGGATCACCAACCTTCAACCCTAGACCATAGTCCCTACCCAACCCAACCATACTCCATAGACCACTAAGCACACAATCCTAGACCATAGTCCCTACCCAAACTTACCATATTCCATAGACCACCTAGCTTAACTCATAAAGACCATGGACTTATCTCAACTCATACACCCCTTTGGCCTAAACTCCCTACACCTTAGCCTCCTAAACTCATACCTACCTAACCCACTTGCCCTAACCCTCTCCACCAAGACCCTAGTCACTCTCAAGAAGGGCTTAAAGCATACTAGCACTGCACCTAGCATCCGGGTTCGAGCCATTGGCTCATGACTAGGTACCCTATCGTTTTCTCTCTCCTCTTTCTCTCTCTTTCCCTTTCTTCTCTCTCTCTCTCTTCTTCTCTCTTCTTCTTCTCTCTCTCTCTCTCTCTCTCTCCTCCTCTCTCTCTCTCTCTCTCTCTCTCTCTCTCTCTCTCTCTCTCTCTCTCTCTCTCTCTCTCTTGGTTTTCTCCCTCTCTCTCTCTCTCCCGCTCTTTCTCCCTTTGATTCGATATGCATTTTGAGGCTTGAATCAGACTTTTGATGACGAACACAAAATCTGACTAAACCCATAATCTTGTAATATTCGATCTTGCTCGTTTCGCCATGTTTTTTGTCATGTTTTTTATCACAAATCATAGGGGAGGAATTGTTGTGATCGTTTTGCACGAAAACCCCTCGATTTGGAGTCCGTTTGATCACTTTTATAATTTTGAAGATCGTCAAAAAATGGGATTTCGGCGACTGGAAAATGTGCCTTCTTGTGCGCTCAAATCGCGTGCCTTCCGGACCTCAATCTTGTGCAAATCAGACCTCAAATTGAAGCCCTTCGAGTCACGATCGCAACAGACTTGCTCGTGGACCTATATCCAATGTTGGGGCTTCGAGAAATGACCATGGGAGTGAAGGGATATCACATCTTAAAATTCTGCACTTTTCATGTTTTCGAGCAACTTCTCTCTAAGATTTCTTCCTATCCGGGAGCCCCCACCATGCATATTGTATGTCGAAACGTACGTCTTGATGAGACGCACGACATACTAAAATTGGGCTCGATTAGGTTCAAGATGAAGAAGTTATGCCACTTGGAATATAAAACTAAAACTTCAATTATGCCACTCGGAAGAAATCCTGTTTTGGAAAAACACAGTTTTTATGCCAT